ACTAATGTCCGTATTGATTAGGTCCCTGGCAGTTGGTACTGCCTCTTGTTCTTTTTGTTGAGGTGATTTTTTTCTGTCTTGTCATTTTGTCCAGAGGAGAATAGATGAATGAGAGAAAAAATGCTAACAGGGTAACAACGTCCCCAGAAAATATACACTAAACAAATCAGAAAAGACCTGAAACCGGGGGAAAAGAAAGGGAAAGAAAGAAAAAAAGAAGAAGATAAAAACAAACAAAAACAAAACAAAACCCAGAATATGATCAGATATGATCAGGCTGGTGCATAGATCAGTGCCAAACACTAGATTTGGGGCGTATTTTGGTCTGTTAGAAGAAAGTGCCTCCCAAAATTTTAAAGAAAGAAAAACTTACATATGTTAAAAAATAAGGTTAATATGATGAAGTGATGGAATATGACTGTAAAGATGAAAAGTATAAAAGATTTTATAAAAGGAATTGATAAGAAGTTGGTTGAAAACAGAAAGAAGAGAAATTAAACAAAAAGGGAGAGAATGTGGTCAGGCAGGAGACTAGAACAAAGCCATAGACTAGAGATTTAGGGTATATTTTGTCTGTTAGAAGCAACTATATCCCAAAATTTTAAAGAGAGAACTATATATATATATATATTATATACATACATATATATACACACACCAAAATAAGGTTAACTACTATGAAGGGATAGAATATGACTCCAAAAATGAAAAATAAAAGAGATTTTTAAAAAAGGGATTGATAAGTTATTGGTTGAAAAAGGGAAAAAGAAAAACTCAAAAAAAAAATAGAAAATTAAAAAAATTAACTTTGAAAGACTAAAGAATCATGGGAAAAAAGCCATGAATTCTATGTGAAGTATTCCCCTAGCGCTGGAGTTCTGCCGTTCTCATTGATTGGTAAACTTGGTCTTGGCTGGCTGTTTATGCTGATCTTCTGGGGGGGGGGCCTGTTGCGGTGGTTCCCAAATGTCTTTGCCGGAGGCGGAATTGCCCCTGCCCAGTGGGGCAAAGTAATCTGCTCGGATTTGCTCTCGGGAGCTTTTGTTCCCTGCAAGCTTTCAGTACAGCTTTGGAGGACCAGAGTGAAAATGGTGGCCTCCCAATCTCCACCCGGAGGAGCCGAGAACTCGGGGCCCCGCTCCTCTGTGCGCCCCCAGAGAAGAGCAGTCAGTCACTCCCGTGTACCCGGTCTCCGGCTGCACTCTGTGCTCACCCGGCCTGTGACCGAGCATTTCTACCTCTGGCATCCGACCCGCTGTGGAGTCTCCAAACCCAGCAGCTGCCTGCGGTGGGCTACCGTGCCACTCCTCCGGGGGAGGAAGGGGAGTCTCCCCGAATCTGCCGCTTGTTGGGTCCCTGCTGGAGGAGTAGTGGCCCGACTGTGCCACGGATCACGGTTTATGGCAACCCCGAGCTGAGAGCCTGCGCCTCCGCTCCGTCTCTGCAGCCGGCTTCCCGGCTCCGATACCTGGGAGCCTTGCCGCACTCAGGCACCCCCAGTCTTTCTGTGACCCCGAGGGTCCTGAGACCACACTGTCCTGCGAGGGTTCCACCCCCCGCTTAGCCACTGGAGCGATGTCCCTCAAGGGAGCCAACTTCTAAAAGTTACAATTTTGTGCTCCGCTGCCCTATCACTCACCGGTAGCGGCTGATGGAGGCCCCCTCCCCCGCCGTCTATCCTCCCGAATATCTCCTCGGATTCACTTCTCCGCACGTCCTACCTTCCAGTAAGTGGTCACTTTTCTGTTCAGAGTTGCTGCTATTCTTTTCTTCAATCGCCTGTTGAGTTCGTAGGTGTTCAGAATGCTTTGATCTCTATTCAGCTGAATTCCTGGGACTAGGCGAAATTTAGTTCTCCTACTCCTATGCCATCTTGCTCCTCCCACCCGAGTCTTATTTTTTTATAATTAACATAGGTTGTTACACTAGTTTCAGGTTTATATAAGCTCGTTTAAAAATCTCATCTTGTCTGCTTTATACTCTATCATGTATGGTTAGAAAGAGAAGACAGTGTGAAAGAATTGTTTAGTGTTCAAGATAGAGTAGGTGCTCACTTGAAGGCTTCTAAAACGTTTAAGAATTGGGTGAGAATTGTTTTCTGGTCAGTTGGTTTCCCTGAATGTAAATTACAGTAGATAACCACAGCATGTTGGATCATTCTACCCACTGACTGTAATTTTTTTTTTAATTTTATTTATTTATGAGAGAGAGAATGAGAGAGAGCACATGAGAGGGGGGCAGGGTCAGAGGGAGAAGCAGACTCCCTGCCGAGCAGGGCACCCAATGCGGGACTCGATCCAGGGACTCCAGGATCATGACCTGAGCCGAAGGCAGTCGCTTAACCAACTGAGCCACCCAGGCGCCCCTGACTGTAATAAAGTGTTGATCTAAAAGCTGTATACCTAAACAAGAATGTAGAAGTGATTTAGGTTCTGGTTATTTTAAGGATCATAAATTTTTCTAATCTGAGATAACTTTGCGATGTACTTAGGTTATTGGACATTGATACCTGTGGAGGTCACAGATATTTTCTCCTGTTCTGATCTTGTAAACTTCTAGCTTATTAATTTGGTGCTGCATGTTACACTAGCTTACGCACTTGTACTGGGGTTAATTTTACAGTGTTATTTTGGCTGTCATAAGCAACCATGCTTACTCTCTGTGTATGCCAGACAAAGATTTACTCAAGAGCCGCCACATTCAAGTGTTTGAATCAACAAACATATCAAAATACTGAACTTAGACAATGTCTACAAAAGCAAGCATAGTCTTTTAGAACAGAAGCTTCCAACCTTGACAAGTGTGAGTCTCTAAAGTCCAAAACTTTCAAGGCCTCTCCCCATGACAGTAGTATTTTTAGTATCTATCGATTGTGAAAATGTAATTGCCAAAAGGCCACTATGCATTTAGTAACACTTTTTAAATAAAAGTGTTTTATTGATCATAATATTTATATTCATTTGGAAATTTATAGTGCATACCCGTGACTTATCTATTCTGTCTGTATACAGTGCTTATCTACATATGGATTTTAGGCCCTTATAATAACTGTTAAATCCTCCAGACGTTAGCACCTCGTAGGATGGGAACATCTACTTTAGAGTAATTTTACTATGCTGTTATTATTGTTAAAAGTGTGATTTTTTTCCTTTAATTCAAGGTCGAAACATAAGTTTAAAGGAAGCCTTAAATCACCAAAATTTACTTAGAGTAATATTACTGGGTAAATATTTTTTAAAAGTTGGTTTAAAATTCAAATTACCTCTTACTGAACTCAGTCCAAAAGGTATAGAAACAGAAGATGTAGAATATTGTTAACATATGGTAATAATATTAATAATATGGGCTTTATATTAAATTAATACAAAATTTGTATTAATAAAGATACAAAATCTGGGATCCATTAAAAATCTTTTATATAATACAGCAGTTTCAGAGTCTCAAACTGAATAAAGCATCTGGGGAAGAACTATCCCCAAAATGAATTGAGGTCTACTTTGAGTAGTGGGTACCAGTTTTTGCTGATTAAGTCCCACTTTTAGATCTTTGGTCCTGTTCTTTTCTGGTTGAGCCCTGTATGTGGTTTATCACATTAAAAAGAGAGAGAGAAACGCTACGTGCTCCTCAAATTGTAGGCTGATTGGTATAATAGATTTTCAATCAAAGTATGTCAAGGGGCACCTGGGTGGTTCATTCAGATGTTGGACTTTTGACTGTTGGTTTCAGCTCAGGTCATGATCTCAGGGTCATGGGATGGAGCTTGCATGGGGTTCCACTCTCAGCACAGTCTGCTTGAGTTTCTTTACCCCTCCCTCTCCCTCTGCTCCTTCCCCGACCCCTGCTTGTGTGCTTTCTCTCAAATGAATGAATGTCTAATTTCCTGCTTAAAATACCGTAACCTTGGGATTCCAATGTAAGTCCAGAACAGAGGGAGTCACTTGGTGGATCGATTAATAATTTCCATTGAAGTAAAAGAAGGATGTGTCCTTGACTTCCCTTCTTTTTTACTTATCCCTTAAGGACATATACTACTTTTGGATGAGTTGGATTCATTTTGTCCAGTTACAAACAACATAATACCTTAGTGTTCATAGATATATACATATGTATTAAAAGTATTAAAAAAAAGGAACAACAAAAAAAGGAACGATAAACAACAAATTCAGATTATAGAGAGTAGGATATAGGACTTTGGAGGGCTTTATGGTACTTATAATGGTTTCTTTCTGAAGTTTGGTAAAAAAAAATGATTGGCTGTTCACTATATTTTGCATATTTTTGTATGATAACATTAATTAATTATAAACACTTAAAAATAAAAAATATTATAATAAAATGATATTAATAAAATATCTGATTGTTTTACCTAATTAATACCAGAAAGCAGGACTTTAATATGAAGCCATAATTTGAAATTTCTCCCTCCCTTTCTCCCACCCTCTCTGTCCTTCTCTTGCTTTTCTTTTTTTTTGTTTGTTTTTGGTAAATGATGCCACCCTCTGATTTGTTTGGTAAATGAGTTGTTTGGTAAATGATGCCTTTCCCCTTCCTCTGATATTCACATGTAGTTAATAATCACATAAAACAACAACAACAGCAACAAAAACATTACATAAAACAGAACACTTCAACTCCATTACTTTTGTGTATATTTGGAGAGAGTTTAGTTTTTGAGTCAGGCAGGCCTGGGGTTGAAGTTTGCTGTTTACTACATACGGGAATTTAGGCAACCTAACCTCTGAGTCTTGTGTTTTTAATTCATTAGGTATAGATTATAATAAACCTACTTTTGGATTTGCGGTGAGGATGAAATGAAGTTGTATATGTAGATTCTGGTATGCAGGAGGTGCTCAGTGAATGTGGATTTGAATTCTCTTCCTCTTTTTTGGTGCCCTCTAGGATCCCTTGCACAGGGCTAGGCACATAGAAGGCACTCAGAAATACTTTAGTGTTTGACTTGATGCTACATCTTAATAAAAATCTCATTAAATTGTTTTTAGGAGGACTTTCGACTGCATTTTAGAAACATTTCAAGAATCATGGATTGTGTTGGTTGTTTTAAATGTCGACTATGGGGAAAGCTTCAGGTAAGCAAATCTAGTTCAATCTTATTTTTCATTTATTCTCTGTGCAAAGAATTTTCTGACTTTTATTTTTTTCTTATTTCTGTAATAGATTCAGGGTTTGGGTACTGCTCTGAAGATTTTGTTTTCTGAGAAACTGATAGCAAATATGCCAGAAAGCGGGCCCAGCTATGAATTCCATCTAACCCGACAAGAAATAGTATCATTATTTAATGCATTTGGAAGGTGAGTTTGAGTGTACTGAAATTATTTCTGTTAGCCAGGTAAGTCTAAAAATGGGTAAGGAATATCCTTTTTTAGTGAAATTGTCTCACTACCGAATTCTGTGATCTTATGAAATACTTGAAGTATGTGCACACACATAATCATTAGGTGATAGTCTTTACTTTCATCTATTGATTTTTATAATTATGATTACTGATTGGACTTCCATATTCATCTTACTGAATTTGTACATTTTTTTCTAATTATTTAAAAGTAGTTCTTGTGCTGCCCAAATATTTTTTGAAGGTCCTGAAAAAATCATGTTATGGAATATAAGCCATACATATAAAATTTCTTTTTCACCATCCTGTAAAAAGATTAATATTTCTTTAAAAATAAATTTTCATGAAAATGATTGGAAGATAAGCCTGAAATCAGGAACTTAACATTACAAAATTTAGGTATAGATGCATTTCTTTTTGGCCTTTCATATGTAAAGAATGCAGAGATTTATACAAACTAACATTTTCTAAGGACTACATTTCTTCACTTTAAAAAAATTATGATTTAATATTTTGGGTTTGAAATAATTGACCTTCAAAATTATTCTCTAGTACACGGAAACTTGATACAGTTCATTGAGAATTCAGCTACTTTTTTCATGGTGGAAAGCAGAACTAAAATACACTTAAAATAATGAACAAACTTTTTGTAAAAAGTAGTGAAAACAATTTGGTCACACATTTACTATTTTCACTTTTTATAGTCCAAAAGTTTTGATTCTTTGTATATTTACTAAATGTGGAATATTGATTAGTTTTCAGTATTCGTATACTTATACATATTTAAAGATTTTATTTATATATTTTAGAGTGAGAAAGCATGTGTGAGCAGGGGGAAAGGAAGAGGGAGAGAGAATCTCAAGATTCCGTGCTGAGCAGAGCCCTACGCAGGGCTTGGTCTCATGTCCCTGACATCATGACCTGAGTTCAAATTGAGTCAGATGCTTATCTGACCAAGCCACCCAGGCGCTCCAACTTATGCATATTTAAAATACATATTTTAATGCTTATGTAATTTATATTTATGTACTTTGAATACTAAGCATGTGAATATACTTATGAATACTTTAAATACCTAAGTATTTTGGGGCACCTGGGTGGCTCAGTCAGTTAAGCGTCTGACTCTTGATTTCAGCTCAGATCCTGATCCTAGGCTCATGAGTTCAAGCCCTGTGTTGGGCTCCACACTGGGTGTGGAGCCTACTTAAAAAAAAAAGAAAAAAATATTACCTAAGTATTTTAATATTTATGTAGTTTCTAATTGTGTATTTTAAAACTTTAATACTAAGTTTTGAATACTTAAAAATAAGTAATTTCAGGGCAGTATTATCTTGGTTTTACCATGTCGAATTAAGAATTCAAGTACATCAAAATTGACTAAATGGTTTATGCATCTTTAAATGTGTTGAAATAAATTACTTGAAAATTTTTCTGTGCTCTAAAAATGCAGTGTTGAATAACAGAGAAAAAGTATCTAAAATATCTTCTGAGTGAATTTTTTTTTTGGTTACAGAATTTCCACAAGTGTGAAAGAATTAGAAAACTTCAGGAATTTGTTACAAAATATTCATTAAAGAAAACAGAAAACAAGTTGAATTGTGCCTGAACTATGAAGGCCAGAGTGGAATTTCATTCAAAGGCATAAGAGCAATGACATTCTTAAGCCAAACATTTTATATAAAGCTGCTTTTGTAAAAGGAGAATTATATTGTTTTAAGTAAACAATTTTTTTTTAATTGTGTTAAGTTTATGTATAATATTGTGAGTAAAAGTAATGCTTTGATGATGTGGTACAAATTTTAAAGTTTAATATTGAATAAAATCAGGATTATCAAATTCATATGTGTTAAAACTAAGTAAATGTAAGTCTCTCAAAAATTTTGTGTGAGAAGATGTAATATAAATAAAGCTATGGTCAGTGTGTTGAGCGTTTAATAGGAAAATGCTAAGGGAGGCTCATGAAGAATCCACAATTAACAACCTAAAAGTTTTCAATACATTTACAGTTAGATTTAGTAAATAAAAATACAGAATGCCCAGTGAAATTTGAATTTCAGATAAACAATAATTTTTTTAATATAAGTATGTTGCATGCAATATTTGGGACATACTCATACCTAAAATTTCTTGTTTAAAATTCAAATTTAACTGGGAGTCCTGTGTTTTATCTGGCAACCCAAAAGTACATTGCTATGAAATAAATCACTTTGAGAATTATATTACTGTTTAGATTGGCTTGTTTTAGTGTGTAGAAAGATACCATGACAACTCAAAGACATAGGGGATTTCTAAACATTGTAAGAAGTTGAATAGATTTATATATTTATTCTCATAATACTTTACCTAATGTTGAATTTGGGAGAAACTTTTTATTTTTATATAATTTCAAATTTATAGAAAAGTTTCCAGGATAGTACAAAAGAACTCTTTACCCAGATTCACTAATTGTTCATACTTGCTTTATCTTTCATGCTTTTTCTCTCTATACACGTGCATACTATTTTTTCCTAAATCATTGGAAAGTCAGTTCCAGGCATCATGCCCTTTGAACCTTAAATACTTCAGTGTGTAATACTGGATAATTTTTTTAAATCATTTTTTCAGGAAAAAAAATGTGGAATCTATAATACTGTAAGCCTTAGAATAAGGAATCATTTTGAGTTCTGGTGTAAAGTTCTTTTTGAGTTTGTTGTCCTTTTGATGATTTGTATAGTCATAGGGCATATAATTTTTGTTTTTTGTACATGAGGTTCATTTCCTTTTTCTCCCTAAAAATAAACTAATTTTGGGAGGTTTTCATTAGTGGCAGTTCTTTAATGATAAAAATATTTGAAGGGGTTTAAGAATTTTGATCACATGGTAATTGTGAAAGAAAGAAACTATAAAAGAAACTATACCTCAAAATGATGTGCCCTCTTTATACTGGCAAGTTGTACCATGTTGAGATGTTACATTATTAATAAAGCAGGGTTTATTTATATAATGGTTTAGAAATACCATTTTATACTGCTGTATACTTTTTCTTTTCTGTGTCCCTAATGCCTGGTGTACTGCCAAGTACATAGTAAGCACATGGTGGGTATCCAATAAATATTTGTTGAATGAATGTATGAATATGTATTCGGTACATCTTAAATGAAAAACCACAGAGCTAAGTTTAACAATATGTGTCGTATTTTCTCTCTTCCCCCCTCATTTGAATGAGGTAGGAAAAGAAAGACATTTACCTATTAATTAAGTCGATATTCTTGGAGACTCAGACTCTGACGTGAGCACCGTGTGCTAATAAGCTTAAAGGACATTTGTAGTGCTCCGAACTTGTGGTGGAAGGGTTTAAATGGCAATTTTGTCTATGTGCTTCTCTAACTCTCACGTCATGCCCTCGCCCTTTTTTTAAGTCAATCTTTTTGAAAGAATATTCCTATCATCACTTTGTCACCTCCCACTTGCTCCTTAACCAAAAAATCTTCCTTTTGGCTCTGTAGTTCCTAACCATTTCTTCTTTTGAAGTCAAAAATTCCAATTCTAAATTCATAGTTCAGTTCACAAGCCATTTCTTATTTCACTTTTTTTCTGCATTTGATACTGTTTGGCAGCCCCTTCTTTAAAAATCTCTCCCCCCCGCCCCCGCCCCGGGTTCCTTATATTTCACTCCTGGGCTCCTGGATGTGTCCTTTTTTAGCCTTTTCTCATTTATGCCTTAAATGTTATTCCTCACATTTTATTCTTGCTCTAAATCACCACCACTTCTCACTCTTGGGTAAGTCCTTACTATTAGTCCAGACTTCTCAATCCATCTATTTACCACATGTCTTTACTGTTGTCCCACAGATACCTGTGTGTCTTAAAAGAACCATTCTCCCCCCAGCTCTATTCTTATGCCTGTGTTCCTTACTCTGGTTAATTTCAAGAACCATCATCATCTAAATTCTGTAGGCTCACTCCTCTGCGTCTTCCCCTATCCGGTCAGTGTGTAAGCGCTGTGGAGTTGATCTCCGTATCTCTGATGCATTACTGTCTTTCCCTTTCCTTTGCTCTTATCTAGAGTACTACACTCACCTGCCTGTCTCCTCTCATGCACCCTACAATGCTGCCACAGTGGTCTTTCTAGAAGCACTTGAACAAGGTCCTCCCAGTCCCGCCCCTAGCCCCCATGCTTTGATAAAACACTTAATTCTTCAAATGTGCCAAGGTCAGGTCACCACATCTTGGTGCATGCTGTTCTCTTTACATCATGTGCTCTAGTCATCCTTCCCTACCTGGAAAATTCCCATTTCTCCTTGCAGGCCAGCACAAAGCCCGCCTCTGTGAAATCTCCCTTGCTTCACCCAAGGAGTATCCTCTAATCTCCTCTTTAATGTCACCACTGTAATTACAACCTACCTCTATTGTGCCACTTATTGTACTGTATTTTCTTTTAAGCCTCCTTTACTAGAATGTGAGCTCCTTAAGGGCAGGAAAAGGAACTTTATCCACTGTTGCATCTCCATAGCATAATTTTTGGCATATGAACACTTAATAAATGTTTGTTGAATAAATTGCTTTTCAAGTGACAATTTCATTGTACTAGAGGTCATACCTTCACTCCAAATATTCTTTACAAGAGTCAACAGATTCCCAAGGATTTGTGTACTTTGTGGGGGAGGTCAGTAAAGCTCCTGAAGTTGCATTCAAAATTTGGTGTGGTTTGGCAAGTTATGAAGGGAGTCCATTATGGAGAAAATGGTAAGAACTATTCTTTCAGGGGAAAAGCAGTATCCCTGAAGAATTTCTTGAATAATCAAAGAATAACTGCCCAAGATTACAGGCTAGCTAAATTTATTCCTGTTTAAAATTCAAGAAGGAGAGAGGTGTTATAAGTTATTTCATACAAAGATTTTTCTTAGCTTAATGTTTGAATAAATGTACTATCAAAATCATACTGATGTTTTAAACTAAAGTGTATGCCAGTTCACATCAAATCAGTGTATAATATTAAGGGACATGATGTTCAGATGTAAATACAAGCTCACTAACAACAACCTGTCATTTGTAATTCCTGATATTTTTCTCTTTTCTTTGGTAGCACTAGGGTTCTTATCCTTGTATGCTAGAAACTCAGTGTTGTCAATGGGGACATTTAAGCAAACCAGACCACCAAATAAAAGCACACTTTTATTTTTAACAGTAGTGTTTTGTTACCATTTAGTGAAACAACAAATAAATACATTCATTGGCCACAGCTATACTTTTACAACCAGTTTGAAACTGATTGTATAGCTGAGAAACACTGTTAAACAATAAAAAAGGCAGCTATGCATAAAAAAGCCACTTTAGCTATAAATTACATCTTTCATAAAACTACAACCAGCTATAATGAGTGGTAAGAGTTTCAAAATTAATGACCACCCAAATGAAACCATAAAAACAAGTACTGCTAATCACTGTAGAATTACACACTTAAGCAATGAAATTCACCATTCTAACTAATGAACCGAAAAAGAAGGTCTTTTGTTATGTGCTTCAGTGCAGGATGAGCAGGGAATCGGTAGCCCTTTGATTTCATCAACAACTCCTTTCGAGACCAAACTTAAAGTGCTCCTAGTGCTTTGGAATTTTTAAGCAAATATTGGGCCAGAAGCTTATCTTTCTTTGTCTTTGGTGATGTATTGTGGGAGATGTGTATAAGGAGACAAATGCAAGAAGAATTCAGGTACCCTAGTCAGGGATAAGAAGAAATACACAAATCTGAAATTTGGAAGAATCAACTAATGCAGCTGAAAGAACCAAGATATTTTACCTGGAATTTTTTAAAGTAATCTTTGCTTATCTGGTCAAATAGGAACACTACCTAGGGAGGCCTTAGAAAAAATTTACCTTATTTACTTTGAACCGCAAGGATTCACAGAGATAACACATCTTTTCAGATAGTTCTAGGTAGATACCCAACATTATTAAGAAAATAAATAGTTGGCATTCTCAAAAGAAATCTAATAACTGAAGTTGTCCCCAAAACATACTCAGTTAAGTGCATGTTACGTTGTCATGTAAATACCAAGGTTAACTTCTATACTATACATTTTTAAATAATTTGGTTACAATGAGAGAACTTATAAACAAACCCAAAGTAACATAGATGTATGCTTCTGATTGAGTTCAAAGTCATTTTGTATGATAAAAAGAAGGAATTTCTTTGGCTGTGTACCAGCCTCTCAAAAGATCAAAAGTATTAAAAATTTAATTTGTTTCTATTACACTTTTGTGAAGTTATTAAATAAGCAATTATTAAAACATTGAATGGTATTTTTTTTCTTTGGAAGGTATTTTAAGAGTAGAAATAAAACAACTTTCTAAAGTAGAAGATAGAGAAGGACAATTGTATTAGTTCAGTTCTGAAGAAATAGATCAGCAGACAATTTTATGTAGCTAGTCGTCTTTAAGCATGTTGTGACAACTTCCCAATGTTGCCTGGTTCCTTGGCATCTTGAGGTATTCAGCATCTACTTCTTTCCATATAGATACTGGTAGAAAGTGCATTTTAAAATCCTTTATTACCTTAGCCATATATATATATATATATATATATGTATATGTATATATATTAGATTTGGGATAGGACATTTAAGACAGTTTTAATATAATTCTAGGAGTATTTCAATATTGTTAAGCAGTGGTTTTATACTTACCTAGTTAGTACCTTTATGTTAGTTTGCTTATTTAGTGCTGGAATTAATTTGAATTAAATTTAATCTGGCTTTGCCCATTTACAAGATATAAAAATGGGAAAACTAAAGGAGGAATTATATGTCTTACAAAGTATTGCACTTGGGTTTACTGCAATAATGTATCATGATTTAATTTACCTGAGGACAATTCTGATTCAATAGGTACAATCAGCTATATCTTGTTCAGCTAAATCCAATGCTTTTGAAAATGTATTCATGTTTTAACTTAGAATTGTACATTTTGTGAATAATTCTTAAATGCATCTGTAAACTTGTTTAGTCCCAAGAAGTTTCTACCAAAATCTCCCTATGCAAAAATCACTATTGCTTTCTTGAAGAATCATG